GTTGCCAGCCATGCAACAACGCCACGTAGTCTAGCATGGACTGCTGTGGAACGCTATACCCTTAGTCTCATGACGAAAATATTCGGGCGATTTGGTCCTGCTGCCGCGCTCAACAGCCACGGGCAAAGCGCTGTCGCCGCAGCTACGACCTCCTCGATGCCGAGGGGCCATCGGCCCATAATGGCTTGCCATGAACGTCTCAAACCTGGAGGTCGTCGTGGCCGTTCAAGTCGGGCGCGATTTCCGAGACCAGTTTCGACATATCCCTCCTGCTTTGGTGGCTGCTGGACCAGCGCGAGGTCGCGACCTGGTGGATCTCCGAGGTCGGTCGTCTCGGCCTGATTGCGCTTCTAGGCTCTGATCGGAGCAATATGAGCTACCTGTCGTTCGTGATCGGGGGCGTGGGTGGCCGCTGCTTCAGAGACTGCGTGGAAGACGAGCTCCGAGTGGCGGATTCACGGGGCAACGGTGCCGATGTTTGCGGGCCCGCTACCCGGCCATGTGATGTGCGGCCAAGCTGGAGACGCATAGCGACGCGGCGTTCCGAAAAATGGACATAAGGAAGGCAGATGCAGGATGGGCCCTTCGCGTGGCCGCCTTCCTCTGCGCGGGCCGCGTGAACTCGACTGAGCAGCTCCTTTCCGTTCGCGCGCAGCCTTGCCGCCTTTGGACAGGCAGTGTGGGGCACTTACGACAGTGGCGCGCAGCGACCTCGCCAGCGAGCTTATGGCCCCGATCATGTCTACGGATCGCGGTCTGGCTGTAGCTGCCACATTCCACGAGGGGGGCCGCGCGGATCAGACGCCGCGTGGCGCCAGCGCGACGGACTGCTGCCTCTGGCGCTGCAGACCGAGCTATGCTTTGATGCGATTGGCGCGTCGCTGCCGTGGCAGCGTCCTGGCCCGAAACTCCTAGCGGAACACCAGCTCCTACCGCGTGTATTCTGGCCACGAGACTTCCTGTTCTCAGGGCAGTTGTGGGCCTTGCGCTGAGGGGACATCCAGGACATGGTTGCTGACGGCCGGGCGAGGGGCAGCATCGACCGAGCCGTGCTTCGCGGCGTCGCTGGCAGACGGCGCCAGGTAACCCGCGCTGCTTGGACTGTCGCATTCAACTCGGCAGGCTAGCTCACTGCGCTCGCAGGACAGGATCGCCGGAAGACTGCGTGCGACGACCAGACGTGGCCCGAACTCCCGCTGTGCACCTGTCCGTCCTGGGCGAATATCCCCCTCTCTGATTCGTCTTTAGCAGGGGGCCCTGTGTGATTATGGCGTCTTGATCAGGGAAGGCAAGGTCACGTGCTATCATCGCTTCGTGCGTCGGGAAAAGTATGGGTACGGCGCTGTCTGATAAACATCAATGTGACAGGCATCCGGAAGTCGTCCTCAGCGCGCGCGTGTGTGTGTGTGTGTGTGTGTGTGTGCGTGTGAGTGTGCGTGTGCGTGTGCGTGTGCGTGTGCGTGTGTGCGTGTGTGCGTGTGTGTGTGTGTGTGTGTGTGTATGTGCGTGTGCGTGCGTGTGTGTGTGTGTGTGTGTGTGTGTGTGTGTGTGTATGTGTGTGCGTGTGCGTGTGTGCGTGTGTGTGTGTGTGTGTGCGTGTGCGTGTGAACGTTCGTCGTGGCGTATGTGCGCACGGGGGTGCCAACGTGCAACTTCACGTGTGTGCGTGGCCCCGCTGCCATGTGGTTCAGAGCGCGATGCTCGCGCGCTTGTCGGCCAGCTGCGCGCGCGGGCCCCCCGAGGGAGAGGCTCGCGCGCCGGCCCCGCCCAGCCGCGCGCAGGGCCCTTATGCTAGCGCCCCGGAAGGCCGGGTCGTCTCCGATTCAAGTTCCCCCGCCACCAGAGGAGTGCTCGTCGGGCGCCTCGGCCGCGGCCAAGTCAGGTCAAGCGCTGGCCCCTCCTCCGCTTGAGGGCAGCGCGCGCGCTCCCCGAACCAATGTGCAGGCTCGATCTGAGCCGCGGCAGGTTTGCTGGGAGCGGCGCCGCAGAGGGCCCCTGCCAAGCCGCCGCCAGTCGAGCGCGACCGTGGTCGCCGCGGCAACGGCGCCAGCGAACCGACGCCCCCGTGGCGCGGCGAGCTGCCAGACATGAACCAGCGACTCCGCGGCCGAGCTTCTCAGTCGGACCGAGCTGCTGCCCAGTCGGGCGCTCTCGCCCGGGATCGGCCGCGCCCCGATGACCGGCCTCGCAGACGCGGTCGCCAGATGGTGTCGCCGCGGCCCGCGCGGCCATCTCAGGGCCCGCCAGCCATGGGGGGGGGGGCGGGTCGCCGCGGCCCCTGGCGACGACCAAGGCCGCGACGCCAGCTCCGCCGGAGCCCCCGCGGCTGCCCTTTACGGTGCTCGCGCCCGACGATGCGGAGGTGGCCCCCCGTGAGATCGCTGGCGGACTCGACGGCGCGTGCCGGCAGGACCTGGCCACGGCCGACGACTTCCTGAGCGGGTGGCGAGTGGCCGATCGGAGCCTTATCGTGATAGTGACGTTCGTCTTGTTCGGTCTGACGGAAAGGGGTGAGACGTTGCGCGTCGTTTTTGCAGACGAATCCAGCATGGGGAGCCTGCGTCATTCGCGTCAGCACAGGGCTCGTCTTCCGACGGGCAACGGGGTGGCGATCACTCCGCGTGAGGAGCTGTTCTCTTGTGAACTCTTTCGCGCATGTCGTGGTCAGTTCAATCGCGCGGGGCGCCGCGAGCGCCGCCGGCTCCAGGTGCCGCGCGGGAGCCAGTGGCCCAGCTGCGAGCTCAACTCTTTTCTCGAGCAGGACCGCGAGCCAGATGGACGTCTCTGTAGACAACGCTGGCGCGGCCCTCGCGCCAGCCGCGCGCGGCGCCGTCGGCCCTCGGCCACGGTCGGCCTCCCGCGAGCGCAGGGGCTCTCGGACGTCGCTGCCAGAGGGGCGGGCGCCGTCGGAGCTCAACTGCGAGTGGGCGAGCCCGCCGCCGCGGGCTCGCAGCCCATCCGAGTAAAATGTGAGTCGCGGCGGCGGGGGTCCCCCATCGACTGTCGGGCCGCGGCAGAGTGCCCGCGCTGCGATTCTGCGGACGGAGATGAGCAGCCCTCGGGGCCCAAATAAGGGTCCGATCAGGAAAGCGCGCCGCCTGAGGGAGGCCCGCGTCGCCCGCCGGAGCTGGTTGAGGTGGGTCTGGCATGGGCTTCGCTTGGCCAGGCAGCAGAGGCGGCGCCGCGATGTTCCTCGCGTTTCGTTCCATCCAGCTCCCTGCTATGGATGCCGGTCGGAAAACGCCCCCATGTCATGCCTCGTGCCCTTTAGCAGCCCTTGATTCCCCAGCGCGCCTAGATTTCTCGAATCTTGCGCCTTCAGACCCTCTGGTCTGCAGCTCGTGCCTTCCGCGCGCCGCGGCGGCGCTGGGCCCTTCGCGCAACTTCCGCGACCAGCTAAGCCTAGTGTCGTCCACAAGCGCACGTGCGAGCTCTCCAGGATTCAGCTGGTAGAGGCCGCCAGCCGCGCGGCGCGGTGCGTGTCCAGGTGGTAACTGAGTAGCTTGGATGGGTTGGGAATGTGCGAGACGTTGAACAGTTCTGGCTTCCCTATATTCTCCCCCCCTGCTCCGCCAGAGCTGTTCGATCGCCTGCGCAGTCCCGATTCGAATAGGATGCTGGGTGGCTATCTGGCTGAAGCGCCAGCGCGATATCAGCGTTGTTGAGAAGGAAACGTATCGTTTTGCATGAGTATTGCCGCCATGTTTTCCCCCTCGCTTCACCCCCCCCGCAATTCTAGTTCCTGCCCTTCCTCTGGGGATTAGAGGCTGCCAGACTGCACTGGAGCTCGTTTACCGGCCTCGGAGCCGTGCCCCGCCCAATGCTGCCCTTGCATCCGTGCCTCCTCGGTCCATCCTTGGCCGCTTTTGCTGGTCGCGCCCCGCTCGCAAAGTGTCGAAACGGCCTTCCGAGGCCTTTGCATATATGTCGTGTATCCTTCTGATACGGGTCGGCTGTACCTCCCGATCCTGTGGTCGACAAAGCGGTCGCTCCGTTTTTTCTTGTTTTGTTCATTTCATTCGGATGCAATTCCTGGGAGGTCAAATTCTGATTTTGCCCTGGTACGAAATCTGACTTCATCGGGCTTAATCCCGGTGGATTCCGTTTAATCTGTCTTAATCCGGCCTAATCCCGCCAGTCCGAAGCCCACCCTGGCGTAACAGTCCCCCAATGCGGCTTAATCCTCTATTGTTCTTCCCACGAAAACCTCCCAGTAGTTGCCTCCAACTGTTTTTTTTTGTTTTCGTCTCCCGGTTCGTGCTCTTTGGCGCCTGCTGCAGGCCCCGGGGCCGTCGGAAATTGACGCGGTTGAAAGAGCATGCGGGAATGGCACCAGCCAGGAGGCAAGAAATACGGATATACGGGAAGTGGACTTGGAACACGAACATCACGATGGAACATATTAGTATGCGGAATCTTGGGACTCGTGTCTATTTTTTAATTGCTTCGCTCATTCCGCTGGCCGTGGAACGCTCTTTGGGGCTTTTTGGGGCTCCTTGGTGGCGTCTTGGGGGCCCGTGGGGCCTCTTGGGGGCTCCTGGGGGCCTCTTGGGGCGGGAGGGGGAGGTACTCGATTGCGGCTCCCCCCTCCGAGGCCACGATCCTCGTGAGGGGCGTCGAAGAATGGCCCTCCCCTGGGGCGTTCTGGGGGCCTCGCCCGGGAGTGGCCCGGCAGTGGACCGGGACCTGGCTGGGGTACTCTTCGTCCGGGGGCCCCCCAGGGGCCGCCGCGCGCGCGCGAGCTAAAACTATTGTTGACCAGTTGGTGGAGATCTTAGCACGCCTCTGGCCCGTTGGGCCGGCGACTCCGTGTGTCCTTGGGCCCCCTTGGCACGGGTCGAGGAACCGACGTGGAGCCGAGTCTGCCGAGTCTGTGGGGGATGTGTTATTGTGCGGCCCCCCTAGGCGGGAAGATATCCACAGGCACCCACCATCCCCACGGGTCCGGGGCGGGACTCCAGCAGCCGTGCGTGCGGTTTGCCTCCTGGCCGTGCGCAGAG